TTATCCGAGAGCACTGTTTTACTGAACTGAAAATGTAGGTGAAAGTTTGCGAAAAGAGCAAAGGAAGCCTGTGGACCAAGAATACCATTAGAGTAACTGTTATTAGCATTGGGCGGCCCCACTATTTACTCCTACCGAGTATCCTTTGAACAGTCAACCGCCGGAGTGCAGTTTCGTGTACTAAGTATTGGGAGATGACTGATATTCTAGTTTACTTGATCTTGTTAAGATTCGTCTCTTCAAAACGCGAACCCAAATCGCATATGGTGGGAGAGAGGTTCGCTAAGCAAAGATTACTTTTAAAAGATGATTTGGCGAGTATACATTCCTGTCAAGCCGTTAAATTTTTATGTAAAATTCCATCATAATAAAAATTTAAAGGCCTGGCAAGAATTTATGGAAAGTAAACTTATGCTCACAAAATTATCTCTTGAATTTTTCAATGGGACTTTTTCTACTATAACAATGACTTTCCCCTAGTTTCCGCCGGAAATGCTGTTTGTCAAGGCTACTGGGAGTCAGCGCACAGGCCTTATCGACCACATCTTTATCTGTTTTCGCTCTGTGGCGAAACTGAGGACATCCAGTGAGTATATGTGACTTGCTCACACTTAAACAACAAGTGGAGCAACGAGGTCAAGCACACCAGCAGGTAGTCTTTTTTGTTGATTAGTCCACGAAAGCTCCTTTAGTCCTGATTACTGAGAGGCACGCGGGAAAATGAGGTCGGGCGGCTTGGTCCTAGCCTAAGGTTTAAGGTGCTGGAAAGTGTGTTTGCGGCTGCGATATAATTGGCTTCTGAGTATACTGCGATTGGGCAAATTGTCTATCAGTGGACAAGTGGAGATGATTCATATTCACTTCAGTCGTAGTAAACTCAAGTGGTAGAGCTTTGGCTGCGTAAAGGCCTTTCCTGCTATGCGGGTTCGTCTCCCGCCAAACGCAGCGAGTTTTTTTCACAATTGGGTCAGCTAAATTAAGCAAATCTGCCCACACCCCTAAATAATTATGTCAGCCTAGCAGTCATTCTAGTAGACCCTAGATGATTGTTTAGGAAATCCTGCTAGGGCAGTCAGCTTGCTGTTCCGTATTGCTGGATTCCATAGGAACGGTAAAGTTGGGTGAGCAAAATCGACCCATGTGTAATTAAATTCAAGGCGTGGCGTTCGTAGCTCAAGTGGTAGAGCGCTGACTGCGTAAAGACCGTCCCGGCCATGCGGGTTAGACTCCCGCCAAAAGCCGCGAGTTTTTTCACTATTGGGTCAACCAAAATTAAGCAAATCTGCCAAAACCCCTAAATAAGTCAACTGAATCTTTGGTGGGATGGTTCGTATTCCAAAAATTACAACCATGGCATCACAGCTACAATATTATCTGGCTCGATCCACATAAACAGCGTGGCATTGAAGGCAGAAGTGGAAAAAAGAAGGTACGCTGATCACCGGAATCACAGTTTCGTCCGTCTGGGCTTTTGAGCTCTTACTGGAGTCCATCATCGGAGATAAAGGCCTCAATGATAAAAACAAGCAATAGTTATGGGGGGGGGGTAG